TTTTTAGTTGTCCAATTAATTTCTTTCTATTTTTAGTAGAGACGGGGTCTCGCTCTTGCTCAGGCTGGTTTCGAACTCCTGAACTCAAACAATCCGACCTCCTCGGCCTCCCAGAGAGTTAGGATTACAGGCGTGAGCCACCTCGTCCGGCCCACTATGATTTTTAAATACATAAAAAATGGAAAACTAACCCACTGTAGAGAAAAGCTATATAGCTTTGTATGCTAACCTAGACCATAATTCATAAATAAGAACATGCAACCAGGGATTGTCAGACTTTTAATGACATGGACATCATGACTAGGAGAGCATAAATTTAAATTCTGGCTCTACCACATATTAGCCAAATGGTCTTAGGTAAATCACATAACCTCTCTTTGGCTCAGTTTGTCAGTTTTTGAAATGGAGATAATGATGGTATGCATATCATGAGAAACAGGATATTTTACTTAAAACATTTTGACAAAATAATAATTGTTTAAAAACATTGTCTCCTAATACTTTGTTCTAAGGTTAATTGTAGTTATATAACAACAGTGATGTATTTTCAACTTACAGATTCAATCTAAGAACACCTATCCTTACAGAACAGGTACAAATGTCACAAACATTGTTGATGCAAGAATAATAATATAATAACAAAATTGGAGGTGGAGAAGAGAGAAGAAAGTAAGGATAAATGTGATGGTTTCCTTATTGTCCATGTCATATAGTTAACAGTTTCTTTCTAAACTTGATGAAAACAAAAAAAGGAGGTACACTGATGTCATTTAAAGTAATAAAGGTGAAAGTTATAAAATTATAAGAATAAAATGATTATAATGTAATTAATAAAATTAATAAATAGATGAGGGTGACGGGTAATATCCGTGGGCTTCTTATTAAGGAGAAAAGATATGTACTATCAGAAATTGATTTATCAAGAAATAAAAACCTATAATCCATATCATTATGATAATCATCAGAAAAAAAGTCAAAGTATCTGACAGTGACTGCATCTAAGGACTGGAATGTGATGGGCTAGGGTAAGAGTCATGAAGACGCATTTTGTTTCTTTTTTTCCTTTGCCTTGGGCTCTAATGTCTGATTTTTTTTTAACTATGTGTTCTGGTAATAAATTAAAATAAGGAATTAGGAACAGAATTTAATTGCAACTGTATAGCTTTTGCAAATTTATCTGTATATTTTGATCATATTTTAGTTAATTATTATTGAGTTTTTCCACAAAAGTAGAATCTGGCTTCCTTTTAATAGCACTGTAGTGGACTTTGTGTTTTAACACAAAACTTTTAATTTCCAGGGACTTTGTCAATTTCTGTGCTCTATATTAATACATGCCGTTGTTCTATATAGCTTAGTCACTCAATTATTGAAATCAGGACACCTCATGACATTCCTAAGTGTACCAATGACAATCACTTTGGGAACAGAAAGTTCAACCATTTTTTCTTTAGATAAACAATATGAACATCTGTCAAATACAAAAAAAGGGGGAAATGATTCATGAAAGAACATTAAACAACTGAGAGGAACCTCTTGAAAAGTAACCATGGAATGTATAAACAGGTAGTTACTGATGATTCATTCAATATGTCAGGAAAGAATATGTAAATGAGGATATTATGAGAGAGAAAGAGTGGGTCAGGGACAGATGTAGCAGGGCAATCTAGATATGTATGCTGTACTACCTACAAATATATTCAGATCATTAAATAGAATACTAACAAATGTAAGGCGTGAACATGCTTGAGGATCGAAGTCTTCCACTTGAAGGGACAATGATGAAGAGCCAACAAAGACCTCAAAACCAGATCCTCAGTATTTTTGTTCATCTGCAAATGTGTACATGAGCAGCAAAATCAATATTTTCAGGCCCTTAGTGTGATGCATGTGGCTGAATAAATGAGCACTGCCTTATGATGCAGAATGAATGTCTCTATCCCTTCGCATCTGACTGTATTGAAGCTGTGGAAAATTTTTCTTCTGTCATACATACGAAAAAAATATGTTAACGTGGATTAACGTGCCTATTGAATGTTAGTCTGCCTTCTTTCTAAAATCAGGGTGCTGAGTAATTCACCTGGAAATCCAATCTGGATGGGGTTAATTAAACCCAGCTGGAGCAAGGCATCTGACAAAGATGTTTATTTAAGAGAGTGTTTGCTCTTGGATTGAGCTTTACCATGAAGAAAAACTATATTCTGAGATTTTCTAGAAGCAACATTGGCATAGGAATTTGGTAGACTCCTCAAAATTGAAAAATCAAATTGAGAAAAAACTCGCACTAAAAATCAGGGAAGATGCAGTCCAGTGGCATTTTAAACAGTTAATTAAGGCAATGCATTTATCCCTGGGTTGGGTGAAACAGGAAACAGGAAGACCAAAGTAGATATTCCTTAGAGTAAATATACTATATATGATATGTGTGTGTGTATACACACACATTTATATATATAGCATATATGGTATAGTATAAATGGTGAAGTATATATATTGTATAGTGTATCTCATATAGTATGTACACACACACACACATATATATAATATATATGTGTGTGTGTGTATATATATATATTTACTACACGGTTTTGCTTTTTTCTTGAACTGTTATTAATTAGTTTACTGAACTTCTTTATAAAAGAAAAGAAAACAACTGTTTTGCCATCCTAGGAAACATAATATTATAATATGTTTATTGAATTTGGTTCACTATATTACACTGAGTTCTTTTAATGAAGATCCACAAAAGAACTCTTTCTTGCTTTGTAGCAATTGCTTTGTTGTTCCAGAGCAATTGTTTCTTTTGATAGTCTGAGCACTGAGTCATACAATTAATTGTGTTCTGCTCTTTGTCTTGGTTCCTAAGATGCCCTAAGCCTCTTATAACCCTGAACTAGAAGAACATATACAGGGCCTTATGGTGTTTATCTAAGTGTGTATCTGATAAGACAAATGTTTCTTTTTCTTCATTATTTATCTAATGATGGTAATTAATTTTACTACAACCACTAACATGAAATTTGGAACCATTTTGAGCTCTATACTTTAGGCTCATACCAACAAATTATTTTTATAAAAAGACCAACTTCATTCTCAGCAAAGTTAGAATACAATCTGGATTTTCTGGGAGTCCCAATGTCAAATATGTTGATCCTCTCCCTCAACTATAACCAATGTCATGCTCCAGTAATTTTATAATTTAAACAATTAGATGATATATCACATAAAATGTAGAAAATATTCTTAATCAGTCCAGTCCAAAGGATCGTTAGATCAATATGGTCAACATATATAACATGTCGCATAGTAGAAAATGATCTGGAACCACACTGGGGAAAAATATATCATCACAGTCTAAATCAATACTTATATAAAGCATGTAATGTCTCAGAAGTCTCCATACCTGTGACTATGGATGAGAGCATTCAAAGCCAGGCCATCAGACCAGCTGGTGGTGAAGTTGATGACATTAACCTGTGGATAATTACGAGTTGATTGTCGGACCCAGCTCAGGAGAATCTTTTCACTGTTGGTTTGTTGCAATCCAGCCATGATATTTTTCATTACATTTTTGACCTACATTGTGAAAAGAAAGTTTGATAAGAGAATGCATTCCCTGAACAAGAACCATGCAAACGTAAGTATAAATGTGTTTGATCTTCAGTGATAAATAGTGGGAACTTTAGGTCCAATACTACTGAGAAGTAATAGATTCTACCAGAACTGATTCCATTCTAACTGGTTAGAAGTCTATTCTGATCGGCTACCATACCATTTACTGGATTTTGTCATATTAAACTGTGCATTTACTGTCTTTATAATTCCTCTCTGTTTGCTTTCAGTGGATAGGTTAGAGAAGAGAGTGTATAAAACATTAGACCTATTTGTTGTTAACCAAGGACGTAAGATATATCAGTGAGTTTTGGATAGGAGCAATAGTATAGTGGATAAAAGAATGTTTTTCTAAAGCCTAAGTTCAAATTTTTCCTTTGCCATTAACTAATTCTGTTAATTAAATAAGTTCCCCCTTTTAAGACTCAATTTCCTTGTATCTTATATACAAGATTTTATAAGAATCAAAGTCCAAAATATAGTAAAATAAACCCCCTAGATTCATATTATAACTTAAAGTTTATTTAAGTTTATTGACTGAACTTAAAAATATTACAGATGCCTACTTAAAATGAAGGAAAAAAGCAACAAAAAAATCAACAAAGTAAAGGACAGGGATATTTATCCCTAAGAGCACTAAATGTGTGGCCTTGGTTTTGTTTTCATTAATTGGTTTCTGTACATTGGATTCTCTCCTAAGCTTTGTGCATGTGCAAATACTATTCGGCAGGTTATTGTATTTCAAAGTTACATTCTTCTAACTAATCTGACGCAGAAATCCATTTTAAGCATTTTTCCTAAGTTTCAAGAATTCAATGACACCTCATTATAAAACAAACTGTCTACATATTTTATTAAAGGAATATTTACTAGGCTACTTTATAAATATAAGCCAGGCCCCTTAAGAGATATTTGCAGAAAGTACATATGTAAATGTGATTAGTCGTTACCACCCAGGGCTTTCCTTTTAGGAAATATAAGGTCCATATACTATCAACATTTGATCAGATGATGAATATTTATTGTGTATTCTAAATATGACATTTTATTTTCTTTTTCATCCATATAGAAGTTAACAAATGCCTTTGGGGCAAATACATATTTTATCATCTCCAATGTTAGTCATCTTTTTATGAAAGATTCAATGCAAATTTTAGGATATACTATTAAATCTCATTTTCAGATGATGTTTTGTAAATATGATAATGACTTGAAGATATGAAATTTTTGCATATATTTGTCACAACCCCTTGATAGCTAAATCCATTATTTAGGAGTGGATTATCCAGTTTTCTTAATTCCTTCCTGACCTGCTTATTTTGTCAGTTACTCAGTGAATAAATAGGCCAAATAATTATATAAGATATATAATTTTTCTCATAACATTCTAAAATTATAAAGTGCACAACCTTCATGTACAGTGATTGCTGGACTTGTACTTTGTGTCCTGTGCCAAATGAGGGTTGGAATCAGTAGATAGTGGCTTAGTGGTGGTGATAGATTTGCAATGATCGGCAACCCTTCTATGATGAATGGGATTCATTTGCGAAATGCTTGGCCAGACTGTGTTCTATGTGGGTAATGTTAAAGGACGATACAGCATTCAATCCAAAACTCCTATAGCATCATTATGTCACTAATTCAGCTTATCAGCCTCAACCTTATTGGTATTGCTTCTACTTGGGTACAGATGTTGCTTACAAAAAGTAAAAGGCAATGTGTAATAATTACTTGTTCTTTTCCTACTTAAGAAACAGTCATCAAGAAATCACTGAGCTGGTCCTAAAGGTGAGCCTGTAAGCAGAAAATTTTCCTCTCCTAAGATCTTACTGCCCCTATGAGAGACTCAATTTAAACGAAAGTGTGTGCATGTTGGTGCATACAGTTCTATAAGTCCGTTTAAAAAAATATTGAACTGTCTATGAGCAGTGATTTTTAAAAATGACTAGGAGTTAACTGGGCAAAGAAAATGTGATCAATATGGACATGTACCACCAAGATTCACCTTCAAGGAAGGGCTTGTTGGTCCAGCTGTGGTCAGGCAGTTTCTGGCTATAGCACTCTCAGGGGCTAAATGAGTTGCAGACTCCTGTCATCCAAGGTAACAACCTTCCCAGGGCAGCCCATATCTAGTGACTAATGAAGAGCAATGATGTAAACACACAGCCATTTTGGCCACACTCAAGACAACTCTGAAGGGTCATTCTAGCTCCAAATTGTCCATGTGGCTGAGTATGACTGTTGTTGGGTCTGCATCAGGGATCTAGTTCTTCCTCTTTCTACTCTTGTCACCTCCACCCTTCCATGGGTGTTGGTCCCAAGGGCATGGCTTAATAAACATGCTGCCTGTTAAACTCAACCTCAAGTCAACCTCCCAGAACCCAGCCTGTGATTAGAAGTAGTTGCGGCAAAGGGGTAGGGGTGAAGTGAGATAGGAATAATCTCCTACAATGAAAGGATAGTTTGTGTGTAGCTCTGCAGGAGAGCAGAACAAGAACTGTTTTGCACAAAAGTTATTAGGTAGGAAGGAGTTTACAGGAAGTGCTTTCAGCAGAGTAAAAATCAACATTCTCTTGTAATTGTATGTTGTATAAATAATATAAAGATTCTAGTGTGAATTAGCTCTGGAATAAAGTATTTCCCTTGACTTAGCCAGGAAAGGTGGGACCTGATTTCTGATAGTTCACCATTGTTAGCAAGTTTTTATTGGTTTTTATTACCAGCTAGTTGCCAGAACGGAATTTACCACTCAAAAGAGAATGGTTTGCACTTAAAAAGGAAGGAAGTAAAATGTGCCAAATGCACATTATTTACTTCACGATTTCGTTCAAAGCTGCCTATGCTATAAAATGTGCATTATTTTTTATTGTAGCAATTTTATTTGAAGTGGAAACTGGAAAAATAGCAATGGAGAAATGGGGTTGGGATT